GGGATCGTGTTCTTCATGAGTGAAATCATATGACCCACATAGGAACAGACCTAAACGGAACACCATGATTTTTTTTTATTATTTTGTACGAAAACATTATAAGTAACGCGAACAGACATAAACATAATAGCCTCAACAGCTGTGCCTCTGCGGTACGCATGAAAACACCTGCCAACTGACAACGTGATAATTTTGATTAAGACCACTGGTTACAACAATGGTCGAGCTATATCTGTCATATAACAGATGGAAAACACAATATCAGAAACACAATATATCAGTCATGCAGTGAGGATAAAAGAGAAAATTATGACTAAGTCATCCGGCTGAAAATTAAAAATCATAATTAACCATTCGCCAGTATGAATACTATCATTCCGTTTTTGATCAACATGAACAAATTTTCGGTTCTCTGGGAATACAATTATCTGTATTTTATCAGTTGGTTATTTGCCTTGTAAGTTCGCTGCTGTTCCTGTTTTTGAAACTCAACACCGATACAGCTAATGTTGCACTACGAATATATACTCTTCCAAAAATGAAACGCAAAAGTGATTTTAGATGTATATTTTATATATCATATAAATAATCAACAGATGGTTATGACTGTTCACAATTGGCACACATCATTGTCACTGACCAAGGTTCCACATGGCATGCATGACGCAGTAGATTTTCATAGTGAAGGTCATTTGTTCTTAATAACTTGTATGGCCTCAAGATATTGAGTCCAAACCTGACTGGCATCGTCGTCCCATGGAAGCAATCAGATCCCGAATTGTGGCCTGGGGAATGTTCAGCCACTGTGCCTGCAGTGCGTGCCAACTGTCGGTAGTTCTGTGGTTGTTGATGACGGGCTCGCAGTCGTTGATCCAGTGCATCCCATATAAATTTATATTCGATTTTGGTTTAAAACTAGAGACCTCGACGGCCATGGCAGGACCTGGATGTTGTGATACCTGAAAAAAGGCTGTTGTCAGTCTTATCGTGTGAGGTCGGGCGTTGTTTTGTTGGAACATGACGTTCGCTTGTATAATAGGAAGGACGTGTGACCGAAGAATCTCATCCGTGTAACTTTGAGCAGTTAAATCCCCCAGAACTTTCATTAAGTCCGTTCTACCGGTGTAGGAGATGGCCGCCCACATCATCACACTACCACTACGCTTGACTCCATCGCAGTTGTGGCCACAGTCTGTGACCTTGACACCACTGACGTCGCAGTCGACGATGCAAGTCCGTCAAAATGACACCTCGAACTGGTCGTCTGGAGCGAATATCTTCAGCGCATACTATCAACGGTTCCTCATTGTCTGGGCTTATATCCTACGCAATCATATTGCCGTAGTTGTAGAGGTGGTCGAGCTGGTCCTTTCACCTAAGTTACGTAGCCGTATGAGTCTGTCTTGTGAGGGGCGGTCGGGTAGCCTAGTGGTTAAAGCGTTCGCTCGTCACGCCGAAGACCCGGGTTCGATCCCCGACATGTGTGAAGCCCATTTCTGGTGTCCTCCGCCGTGATATTGCTGGAATATTGCTAAAAGCGGCGTAGAACCATACACACTCACTCACTGTCTTGTGATCTAGTAGTGAAATATAGTCAACCGGATCTGGGAAGGTCACGTGTTGTCCCGTGTGTCTGATACGGTCTTCTGAAGGTGCTTGGTGCTACGTGGAAAAACCTGGATACATCACGTGCAAATTGTAAATCACAACCCTTTGTTTGTTTATTTGTTGTTTAATGCCGCACTCAGCAATTTTTCCAGCTAAATGACGGCGGTCTGTAAATAATCGAATCTGGACCAGACAATCCAGTGATGAACATCATGAGTCTCGATCCACGCAATTGGGATACGATGACATGCATCAGCCAAGGCAGCGAACCTGACCACCCGATCCCGTAAGTCGCCTATTATGTCAAGCACAGTTGCCTTTTACGGCCAGCATGGGTTGCTGAAGACCAAAAAAATCGAGATGTCTTTATGACAATGTCTTGAAAGATGCCTTATTTTATTCAATAATATTTTATTTTTTTAACCTGATATGAAGAACAGTTACTGTTAAAAACATGTCACTATCGATTGTTTATCGATTTCAGTTTCTGTATTTCAATATGAGTATGTCACTTCGTAAATATAATAAAATTAATGTTAAATTCTGACTTACAATAACCAAAAAAATTATACGATTTCACCAAAATGGCAATTAATTTAGAAAAGAAAAATAATTACTGCCTTTCTTTTTTCCACGTGTTATATGAACTGTCGGGCAAAAGAAAGTATGCACCCATGTTTGATGGTGGCTGAAAATGAAACAAACGAGAAATGGTAATTAGATGGCGATGTATTTGATACGGGTATCACTGTTGTAATGTTTTCGTCAAATTGAATTTTCAAGTGTAAACTTGCCCGACTGTTTATTAGTTTAAAAGGAAACTATCGTTTGCAGTACTATCATCCAGATTAACAAAATACCGGATTATCGGATCATGGCACAATAGTGAAACCATGTTTATACATGTACACGTGACGTATCTAGCGGGATCGCGAATAAAAGGTTTTCAGTGGACAGTGGACGAATCCTCAAAAGCATCTCGTTTGTGTCACAGATAATGATGACACTGTGTTAGTGAGTTGAGATTTACGCCGTATTTAGTGATATGTATCACAGCGGGGAATCCTAAAAGGACTTTACACATGGAACCTATATTAGAAGACGAACCTGTGCCATCGGCGTGACAAGCAAACGCTTTAACTACACGGCTACCCAACAACCAGTCACCGTTGGAAGACATACTTGTATAGATCCAGCCATCATTGTGTAAAAATTAAAATAGTTTGTCTAATATTGAATGAGTCTTGATATTTCCTTCATTAGTATAAGATATTTGACAACCTTCAGATTGGGCGTATACACATTTTACAAACGCAAAATCAGATGAAATGTGGAGGGTTTTTAGAACTTCCGTTTTGGTCTTTGGAGCTATTTGGTGCCCTATAGCTAGCCTCTCAATATCAGCCAACTATATTTCTGAAGAAAACTAGTAGGGGTATATAGGAGTGAGTGAGCTGGGTTTAACGCCGCTTTTAACAGTATTCCAGTCATATCACGGCGTGTCAGCTTAATGTGGGAGGAAAGCCCGAAGTGTTGCAGGTCTCAGACGTTTACCACATTGGTGAAACCCAAGAGCACGGGTATGGTGCTGACAAGCCTAGTTTCTGGCGTGCCTAAGGGACGCAACTCTGCACAGCGAATCGCGGCGCCTTAGACGACTGGGCCACCCGTGCCCCCGGGTATATAGGAGAGTATGAAGAATATTATAGTTTGAGAAGGGCACGAATGACCAGGAGGTCAATCACGCCGCAATTCGCTGTTCTTGATTTACTCCTTCATACGTACCAGGATCCGATTATTTGGGTTTGAGTCCCATATTATCTCGAATTATCATTCTCAGCGACATATATAGCTTGCCATTAATATTCAGAGTTAATTGGGGGGCACGGGCGGCCCAGTCGTCTAAGGCGCCGCGATTCGCTGTGCAGAGTTGCGTCCCTTAGGCACGCCAGAAACCTATGATTGTGGGTTCGAATCCCGATTCGCCCCGAATATGTTTCTAGGTTTGTCAGCACCATAGCCGTGCTCGTGGGTTTCACCGAAGTGGTAAACGTCCGAGACCTGCATCACTTCGAGCTTCCCTCCCACATTAAGCTGACACGCCGTGATATAACTGGAATACAGTTAAAAAGCGGTGTTCAACCCAACTCACTCACTCACTCTGAACGTGATGTTGAGAAAACATTTTTACATTTCGCAAAGGTTGCTTACAGTTTGAAATGACCTCAGAATCAGTGGACCATGTTGTTGCAGCGTGTGTTTAGGGGAAAAGCTCAGGAAGTTATTTTGCCTTACCTATTGATATGAATTCTGATTATCAGGTTGTTATTTTAAAGGCTTCTGAAATGGTTCCTGAAGCTTACATGCAAAAGTTAGGTCTGCTAAGAAAACGGATGGTTCTACCTTTGTTGAGTTTTCAAAGTAGAAAGAAAAAGTTTGATTTGGTTGGTTCTTTAGTTTGTTGTTTGACGCCGCACTCACCAGACAATCCAGTGATTGATATCATGAGCATCGATCCACGCAATTAGGATTGAATGGTGTTGTACCTCAAAAGAGGTCAATGGTGATTTTGATAGTTTGAGGCAGTTGGTTTTGATGGAGGATTTTAAGCAGTGTGTGTCAACAGACATTCGGTGTTTGTCTCGGGTTTTGTTGCTTCGGGGTCCAAACAAATCACTCCATTGACGATAGCGAAAAGAGGGCCTCGCATCACGACGCGTATCCCCACCTGAAGATACCTTCTTTACGCACGTGTCCTGTCGGTCATTCATATACACAAAAAGCTTGTTGACAGTCACGCATTTCCGGTGGTCTCCATGTGCATGTTATGGCTGGTTGGTTGGTTGGTTTGTTGTTTAACGCCGCACTCAGCAATATTCAAGCTATATGACGGCGGTCTGTAAATAATCGAGTCTGGACCAGACAATCCAGTGATTAATATCATGAGCATCGATCCACGCAATTGGGATACGATGACATGCATCAACCAAGTCAGCGAGCCTGACCACCCGATCCCGTTAGTCGCCTTTTCCGACAAGCATAGTCGCCTTTTACGGCAAGCATGGGTTGCTGAAGACCTATTCTACCCTGGATCTTCACGGGTCTCATGATACAGTCTCATGATATGTCTTATGATTGTGAAAAGGGTTTTGTCGCGGTTGTGATGTTCATTGATCATAATTACAAACAGTGGAATATTCTTTATACAAACAAAAAACATACCGCACATCACTAAGCGTCTTCATAATCACCTGGTGTCGTCTCAGACAACATCATACTTGAGACATGACGCACGGCTGGTAATCAATATCTCTTTAAAATAGATCAATTATCACAATGGAATTATATAAACACCAGTATATTTAGAACCGTCTCCATTCTGTTGAGATCACGTCACCATCCACACACTCCGTGATGTTATATATATGTACTGAAACTATTCTTCTGGTGTTGGCTACGATAGTTTTGACAGGTAAGTAAATACTCTTTTCAAAATATATTAAAACAAACATTTGCATTTGAACATATTGTTCTACCAGTCGTTAAATGAGTAAATCCTGCTGTTTTGGTAGAATATAGTAATTAACCTTAAACTGTAAGTAAATAATCGCATTTTGATTAACAAAATATTGCGTGTCATATACACTGCGTGTTTCCCGTCGTGTTGATCGTATTAGGCAGTTTCACGTCACGTCAAGTCTCGTCACGTCTCAAATCAGTGCATTACTTACTACTCCCCGAAAACGCACTTGTGACACAGATATTCATACATAAGCTCATATATTAATGGTAATGAATAAACTACAATTTTGACAAACAATTGATAAGAGACACAGGTATATAATCATATCAGTCATGAACATCGTTCTTCTTATGTACTTGGGAGCGATCGGGTAGTCTAGTGGTTAAAGCATCCGCTCGTTACTACGAAGAACCGGGTTCGATTCCCGACATGGGTACAATGTGTGAAGCCAATATCTGGTGTCCCCCGCCGTGATATTGCTGGAATATTGCTAAAAGCGGTGTAAAACCATACTCACTCTCATGTACTGGAACCACAGGGGTTTTTAAGGACTGGCTGTATTTTATTCGGTTTATGGCGGTATGAATCGAAAAACTGATGTCCAAACTATGAATCTGCGTAGCAGTCAACCCTTATAGCTAAATGCGACAGTTAAAACATTTGTTATCTACAACAATTTAATCAAAAGACCCGTGCAAATCCGGGGTAGAATAGGTCTTCAGCAACCCATGCTTACCGTAAAAGGCGACTATGCTTGTAGTAAAACGCGACAAACGAGATCGAGTGGTCAGGCTCGCTGACTTGGTTGATGCATGTCTTCGATCCCAATTGCGTGGATCGATGCTCATGATGTCAATCACTGGATTGTCTGGTCCAGACTCGATTATTTACAGACCGCCGTCATATAGCTGGAATATTGCTGAGTGCGGCGTTAAACAACAAACCAAACCAAACCAAATCTTATGTTGAAATGTCGATTAATGATTGTTGATAGACATAATTGTAAGTGTCTGAGAACCAGAGGGACACTCCACCATAATATTGATGGGTTATTGAACAGTTTGAGTGTCTTTATGTATTTCAATGGCTTTAGGTTTTTTTAAGTTTAGGTAGTTTTGCTTGACAACATTATCTTATCGTGTCGATATAATTTTCCAGAAAGTATTTCTTTTGAACTTATAGCAGTTCAAGAATGTCGATACATAGATAGAATCTTCTAAAACCTCGTCGGAAAGACCAAGTTGGTTGGTTGGTTGGTTGGTTGGTTTGTTGTTTAACGCCGCACTCAGCAATATTCCTATTCCAGCTATATGACGGCGGTCTGTAAATAATCGAGTCTGGGCCAGACAATCCAGTGATTGGGACTCCTGTGTGTGAGTAGGGTACACATATCTATTGTGAGTTTTGTATTCACATAATTTCTGTTTTTGTATGATATGATTTCTATTTTCTTATATTGATATGATTTCATTTTAATCCTTGGCTTCTCTGTTTATATACGGTCGAGTAGCTGTCCATCTCTCAGAAATAGAGTTAGTTTGGCATTCGCTATTGCATCTCTTGGCTTTAGGAGATCTATGACAGATAGCGGATCTGACTGAAATTCTTGTTTTAACCTAGCCCAGACTGGGGCATGGTCTTGACATTCTAGTAACACGTGATCAATGGTTTCAGCCTGATTGCAAGATGAATAAACCTTGTCATCGTGCTTTTTGTGACCGAGTCTGAGGCGTGAGATCGCAATTTCAATTTTCCTTTCATTTGAGTATGAGTTTGGCTTTTGTTGGACCTAGGGTTGAATTTTGTATAGCCATCTGCCGATCTTACTTGCGTCCCATTGGGCTTGCCATCTTTCTGCTACAGAGGTTTTGCTTTTGCTTTTTATCTCTAGTTTACTAAAGGGAATAGGCTGTATATCCGCTTTGTCTACAGCTAGCTTCGCCAGTGAGTCTGCTTTTTCATTTCCATGAATATCTATGTGAGAGGGGATCCAACACAGCTCCACCTGTTGCCCTTGGTCCGATAGTTTTGTATATTCGCATAGAATATTGCTGTCTGTGTTTGGCCTGGAGTTTGAGTTTCTGCCACTGATGTCTTGAAGTGCACTTAGCGAGTCTGATAGGACGACTGCCTTTGCTTCCGGGAGGTCCGGTATGAGTTTGAGTGCATGATGAATTGCCTCCAATTCAGCCGTGAATACTGACTGACCATCAGGCAGGCGAACTGAATGTGCTTGGGGTTAGGAACTGTGGATATGGATCCCGTAACCAGCACTGTTGTTGATAGGATTCTTGGATCCATCGTCGTATATATGGGCCCAGCTGTCCCAGGTAGGTTGAAACTTGATATGTAATTTTTCATATTTAAGTCTCAAAGAGTGAATGTTCTTTAAAGCCATAGTTAGCTACATTCCACTTATATCATGGGACCTTGTAAATAATCGAGTCTGAACAAGACTCTCCATTTTATGGCTTAAATAAAAACACACAGTTTGAAATGAAACGATGTGTCATCATTCCTTCGTCGATCTTGTATTAAGAGTCATCCTGTCACAGTTTGTTCAGGTAGTCCAGAATATTAACATTTTATGTATATAGTTGTTCAACCTGAAGATGGGGGCGGTCGGGTAGCCTAGTGGTTAAAGCGTTCGCTCGTCACGCCGAAGACCCGGGTTCGATTCCCGACATGGGTACAATGTGTGAAGCCCATTTCTGGTGTCCCCCGCCGTGATATTGCTGGAATATTGCTAAAAGCGGCGTAAAACCATATTCACTCACTCACTCAACCCGAAGATGATTAGGAACAAGACCTTTGTGCCCAGGGCCCCGTTCCACAAAGTGAAAGTAGCGTCAAAGGTGATCGTCACTCCCATACTTTTACATTAGCTTACGACAGTCGTAGCGCTACGTTCGCTTTGTGGAACGGGCCCTGGTCTGTGTGTGAGGAGGAGGTGGCTCTGACATTTTTGGTTTCAGACATAAATTGAAACATTAATTTGGCCTCGGATTTCACACAAAAAAGGTTTTGTGTCTCTAACAAAAATCCCAACATGAATACCCTGTTTCCAAAAAAATAATAAGAAATGGTTGGCTGCTCACCCTGAAAATCCGAGGTCAGGTGAGGTGAGGTCACGTCACTTCACGTCACGTCACGTCACGTCACGTCACGTCATATTCATATAGAATACTAAACTCGCTCCCGTGTTATACCAATTTTATGAAACGAGTGAATAGTTTTGGTATCTGACGAGCGAAATTCAGGCGTCGTTCCACAAAGTTATCGTAGCGCTAAGGTTATTCTTCCCCGCCCTTAAGGCGGGGAAGTATACGGGAAACGTTAATTTTGTGGCATGTATGTCGACATGTTGGTTTATTTGAAATTTCAAGCCACGCATTTACGGAAACAAAATATACAAATCATGTGCGTGGAATGTTGATGCTATTCTTTTCCAGCAATAAGATATACTTCAAAATCGTCTTTCTGTAGTTAATTGATGCATCTGACCGTTTCTGGCCATTAGCTGACATTATTAAACCATTCATGTGTAATCCGATGTCCTTTTTTCCCCAAGGACTAATTTTCTGATTTTCACGGTGTATACAAAAGAAGAACTGTGCTCCGGAGATCGTAAATTACAGCATAATAAAAATTATGTTCTGAATATGCTTATTCATGAACAACGACGACATCTCAATTTAAATGTGATATGGCTGAATTCCATAGTCTACATACCACACTTTTGATTGTTTGGATGCTCATGTTCACTGGAAATATTTGGAATAGTTATATTTCGTATTTTGAATTAACCCAGTCCCCCGTGTTTCTTTTAATCAGTGCACCGCACATAGCCACATGTGAAACGTTTTGTAGCAAAGTCAAAGCAAAATCGGAGTAGTGTGTCAGCGAATTTGCATCAAGGCCGAGTATTTTTCAACCGTTTAATAGAATTCAATGTACAGCCGTAGCTCTGGTCACTCATATATTTTGTGTCCCACGGCTCAAATCTATTTGCGTCTGTACCGTGTTCCACTGACCTCGATAATCTGTTGGATGAAGGCACAGCTCTCTACAGTCACATAGTTAACACCGAAGGCTATGACGGGTATTTAGGTCATACAATCAGCTCCCAGCAGCCACTGCCTCAAGCGATATTGTCTACATAACAGATCAGGTTTATGGCTCCGTCACAGGTGCTCCAAATACTGAAGCAGGGAAAACAAATTTCATAGAATCATTTCAACAAGCAATATTGATATCCCCGTCACTTTTGGTAACTTTTAATGATGTCTCCATTGCAATTTTTGAGGATTTCGTTTCGTATGCATTATTTGACTCTCATCAGCGGAATGGTTTGGGTCAGATTGATCCGAATGGACAAGCGGTTTTACTTCTGTTTAGTAGTATGGATGAATTGTTATGTTACATCTTAACAGTATATCAGGCGACTATGCTTGTCGTAAGAGGCGACAAACGGGATCGGATAGTCAGGCTTTCGTTGATGCATGGCATCGATCCCAATTGCGTGGATCGATGCTCATGATATTAGGCACTCGATTGTCTGGTCCAGACTCGATTATTTACAGAACGCCGTCATATAGCTGGGATATTGCTGAGTGCGGCGTTAAACGACAAACCAATCAATCATCATCATATGAACTCAAACCAGTCATTGTTACAAGTAAACCACATTCCACAACAGTTACTGACACTGGATAAAAAACAGTACATAGAAAAAACCCAAGTAACTCAACTCATCATGATCACAATTACTATTCTTTGAAAGAAAGAAATAAAAAAAAAGAAACTGACCAAAAAATGTAAAACAAGAGACGAGGAATCTCCGAAATTGATTAGTCAGGGTATTGAAATGTTCTCCATCTACGTGATAATATTTTGAGTATGTGCATCTGTGGTTGTGACAAAAAGACCTTATCTAGTATGACTTTTTTTGCCATATGGAGCCCTTAGTATTTTCATTTACATTATTATAACCAAATGCCAAGTGTAAAAAGAATGTGATCTATTATTTGAGTATGTGCATCTGCCAATGTTATTGGCAGTTTTGATACTATTTCCACATGTTTACATTTGTGCCAGAAATTGCTTCCATTTCCTTCGATCTACTTTTTAAATAAAGACCCAGGTAAGAATAGGTCTTCAGCAACCTATGCTTGCCGTAAGAGGCGACGAACAGGATTGGGTAGTCAGGCTCGCCGATTTGGTCGATGCATAACATCATATTCCAATTGCGTAGTTCGATGCTCTTGGTGTCAATCACTGGATGATCTGGTCCAGACTGGATTATTTACAGACCGCCGTCATATGGCTGGAATACTGCTGAGTGCGGCGTTAAACAAGAAACTATTTTTAAATAGACCTACCCTATGCACATGTATCAACTGTATTGCCCAATACTCAAAATAAATAATATTTTTTTCCACAACAGCGTTGTGTTATTTGTGGTAAATATAATTATGCTCCATCATGCCTTTCAGTAACATCATAATTATGCGTTTGTGAGGCATCACATATGGCGGGGAACTTTGATGCTCTGCATCAATGTTTTCTTGTCGTAACTCACATACTTTAACATAGACTTACGACTATCGTTGCGCTACAGTGCGATCGCCTTGTTGAACGGAGCCCTGCACCACAAAGTTTACACTCACGTCACAATACCTTATGACGTAATTTGTGGAATTTTGTTGCAAGATCGACCGCCAAAACAATGCCATGTGACGTCATCCTAGCAACAAGGTTGCCGGGGGACATCGAGTGTGCATAAGCTCCTCTCAGTGATCTATCATCTCCATACGTAATGTCGTTGAATAAGCCAAGTGATGTTGAGAGCTTTCAATCTTTGTTCGTGAAACTTGTTCCCGCAGTACAAAAATACGCGTATCGGTATGTTTATTGAACCAGCGATCTCTTAACGGGCAAGTAAGAAACTCAGCCATACCACAGGTGAAATGATTTCAAACTGCATCAGGTCTTTATCGAACAGGACAAGTATTTGAAATAGTAAGTGGTCGATTTTGATTGATCTCTGTCGAGCAATTGTTCGATTGACGGGGTGCGGAAACTGTATGTGAACAGAAGCCTTTCAAGATTGTTTTTCTTGTGGTTTACGTTAGTGCATTATGTGTTTTACCTACAAATGGCACGTTTTCTTCTTTTTAACCGCTACACCAAAGAGATAAAAAACAATTTTGTCAAAAACATCGATCATGCTGAGAGCGGAGAAAACATGTGAATCGGACCCTTGAAGATCCGGGGTAGAATAGGTCTTCAGCAACCCATGCTTGCCGTAAAAGGCGACTATGCTTGTCGTAAAAGGCGACTAACTAACTGACACCAGAAATGGGTTTCACACATTGTACCCATGTCGGGAATCGAACCCGGGTCTTCGGCGTGACGAGCGAACGCTTTAACCACTAGGCTACCCGACATATAGATGAACTATTGCTATTGCTGAGTGCAGCGTTAAACAACAACCAACCAACCAACCAACTAACCAGTCTAATATCGTCACTTCGCACAACTCAACACTTCATCGAAGGTAGCAATCCATTCAATCAATCAATCAATCAATCTTTATTCATGGTACTTATGAGGCCAAAGGCCTATAGTACAATGTGTGGGGCGTGTTACAAATTCATACATTTTCTTAGTTTCATGGCATGATAAATGAACATTGATAGATTTCTAATAGTTTCTGTACAATCACAAGTCATTAATTTACAAAATTTGTTACCGTTTGGTATGCGGTAGAAATAGTTATTTAGATATTTTGCTCTTAAATCTTCATACACTGGACATACATATAAAAAGTGATATTCATCTTCAGTACAATCAGTTTTACAAATCCTACAAAGTCTGTGTTCTCTTGCAATACCTTCATATCTGCCTGTTTCAATAAATAGATCATGTGAGCCACAACGGAATCGAGAAAGAGCTGTTCTAAACTTATGTAAATTTACACTTAATAGATAAGGTTCTAGTATAATAGTAGTCTTAAATGTAGTGTAGTAGTTTGCTTTTCTATTCGTGCCCTTTTGTGTCATTCCGGGTTAAAAGCGGGACGAGTGGTGACGGATCTGTTGCAGTTGTGGGATCGTCTAGTGATCTCAGATAACGAGATACTGTTTATCAATGATAACGTCAATCAAACCGTTGATATTCCGGGATAGAACTGCCATGTTTATCGTTGGTGGCGAAACAATGGAATCTCTGAATTAACGAGATGTTGCTTTTAATTTCAATCAGCGGCTTTTCTCCTCAAGGCGCATTTTTTATATTTTACCTTGAAATATTGCTTCGTTGAACATAAAACAAAAACAAATCTAGTTATCTATGTTTCGATGTCTGTTTCAGTATGGACGGAGTGTGTCGACCAACACGAACTCTGCACTTCTTGGGAGAGTCTCGGGGAATGCGCACTGAACCCTGCTTACATGATGTGCCACTGTCCTCAGTCGTGCAACACGAACTCCATGTGTGCAGGTTGTACCTTCATAATTACCGGACCCGTGAAGGTCCGGGGTAGAATAGGTCTTCAGCAACCCATGCTTGCCGTAAAAGGCGACTATGCGTGTCGTAAGAGGCGACTAACGGGATCGGATGGTCAGGCTCGCTGACTTGGTTGAAGCATGTCATCGATCCCAAATGCGTGGATCGATGCTCATGATATCAATCACTGGATTGTCTGGTCCAGACTGGATTATTTCCTGACCGCCGTCATATAGCTGGAGTATTGCTGAGTGCGGCGTAAAACAACAAACCAACCAACCAAAATCATAATTACCGTTAAAGGTCGTCAGCGAGCATTCATTCTAAGGGACCGACCCCGGCTGTCTTAGTGGGTAGCCGACACGCACGCATGCAAGCACACGCACACGCACACGCACACGAACACACACACAGACAGACATACTTGCATCCTGTGCTGATTGTGTTTCTACGTCCTGCACCTTTTGGTATCAGTCGATGACGAATACCAATGCCCCTGCTGGATCATCTGTTATACTAAACATGCATATAGTGTATCACATACCATTAAACAATCTGACAAACAAAATGCAACCGAAACAGTGACTGTAAGCACCCAGAACCAAGAAGTGACGAGAAAAGTGTACATTGGATTTCTTTGTACTGTTACAATGTTTGCGTGAGCAATGACAGCTTCATAATAGTATATAGTATATTCTCATAATAGTATGTTCATAGGCGAACATGTACTTTTGAGATAACACAAAATGCTGACATCGTCCTTTAATCATTCCAGGAATAAAAGGTCATCTAATTTCATCATGTTTATCAGCAGTTAATAATTCTCAACAAAGCTCGCGTTGTCTACATTGAATGAAGTACCCTGTTTGTTGGTTAAACTCCATGAACATTTGAGTGAGTGAGTGAGTTGGGTTTAACGCCGCTTTTAACAGTATTCCAGTTATATCACGGCGTGTCAGCTTAAAGTGGGAGGAAAGCCCGAAGTGATGCAGGTCTCAGACGTTTACCACTTCGGTGAAACCCACGAGCACGGGTATGGCGCTGACAAACCTAGGAACATAATTTGGGCGAACCGGGATTCGAACCCACAATCATAGGTTTCTGGCGTGTCCAAGGGACGCAACTCTGCACAGCGAATCGCGGCGCCCTAGTCGACTGGGCCACCCCTGCCCCCCCCATGAACATTTGAACGCTTTGCGTTTTACAGATGAAACATGTGTTTCTTCTTTCCTAAAGTTCAATATCTTACTCGGGATTTTACTTCGCTTTTAGTAATATTCCAGCAATATCGCGACTGGGCACAACAGAAAAGGGCACACTGAATATGGATTCGAAACTTTAATACTGCAGTCTTTGATAGATATTTAGAGTGAGTGAGTTGGGTTTAACGCCGCTTTTAACAGTATTCCAGTTATATCGCGGCGTGTCAGCTTAATGTGGGAGGAAAGCCCGAGTTGATGCAAGTCTTAGACGTTTACCACTTCGGTGAAACCCACGAGCACGGGTATGGTGCTGACAAACCTAGAAACATAATTTGGGCGAACCGGGATTCGAACCCACAATCATAGGTTTCTGGCGTGTCCAAGGGACGCAACTCTGCACAGCGAATCGCGGCGCCTAAGTCGACTGGGCCACCCGTGCCCCCCATGAACATTTGAACGCTTTGCGTTTTCACAGATGAAACATGTGTTTCTTCTTTCCTAAAGTTCAATATCTTACTCGGGATTTTACTTCGCTTTTAGTAATATTCCAGCAATATCGCGACTGGGCACAACAGAAAAGGGCACACTGAATATGGATTCGAAACTTTAATACTGCAGTCTGTGATTGGCATTTAGAGTTAGTGAGTGAGTGAGTTGGGTTTAACGCCGCTTTTAACAGTATTCCAGTTATATCGCGGCGTGTCAGCTTAATGTGGAAGGAAAGCCCGAAGTGATGCAGGTCTTAGACGTTTACCACTTCGGTGAAACCCACGAGCACGGGTATGGTGCTGACAAACCTAGAAACATAATTTGGGCGAACCGGGATTTGAACCCACAATCATAGGTTTCTGGCGTGCCCAAGGGACACAACTCTGCACAGCGAATCGCGGCGCCTTAGACGACTGGGCCACCCGTGCCCCCGATAGGCATTTAGAAGTTGGGAGAACATGAATACATGACACTTTTTAATGGATTGCAACTTCTTTTTATTGTTGTGTCAGAATAGCCAGATCCTTGTCAGCACTACATCTTCAGTGTACTTAATTAATCCTCTCCTGTTAATATTATTGGCTTCGTTATTATAATCTTATCTTAATCCTATCCCATCGGCTTCGTCATTATAATGTTATCTTTGTAGATTAATAAAATTCCATAGGCTTCATCATTATTATGTTATCTGTGTACATTAATGCTATGTCATTGGCTTTGTCACTTTGTTGTTATCTTTGTACATTCATCCCACCTTGTGTTGTGCAAATATCATGATTATATACATTATATATTATACTATATTATATATGTATACTATAGTACTCAAAACACAATAACCTACCAAATCAAAATCACATAAACACACAAACATCCACCATACCCAGCTCTCTTAGTTCTCGTCCCCAACCCCATCGGCATCTATTCCAAATCTGAAAATTACCAAATTCTATATAAGCAACCCCCCTCTTGGGTTGCACAGACCACTTTCGCCCCTTTCGGAAACACATTAAATGGCCTGGCCGGGCCCGTGTGCGAAATACGCATCAGTCGGAAAGCGCACGTTAAATCTCCAAATTAAGTAAGTAAGTAAGTACTCAATGCACTATCTAAGCATTCACTTGATGAAAGAGCAAGAGGTAGCTCTGAAACGTCAGTTAGTCGCCTCTTACGACAAGCATACATGCAGGTTGAAAACGACCAATTAAAACCCGAAATTTCCACGGGCCTTGAAAATACTTACGTGACAGATACTACGTATACTAGGTCTTTAGCAAATAATATTTCGATTATTGTTTACAGGAATTAATGCCACAGACCAAACCTGCCAGTGTGCACTCTACGCAGCCAATGGACAGTGTCCTTTCATGGCGTCCATTTGTCCCTACACCTGTGACCGTCATGAAGGTAATGTGAGTGTTGAAGAATGTTAAGTCAGGGTAAATAAATTTGCTTCATAATTTATTAATGGGATAAGAGTGAAGCAAAATGTCTTTGACGCATCTTTACAAGCTTATAATATGTAACAATTTTGAAGAAGTGTGCTTCTTGTTTATCGCTGAACTCAGCAATATTCACACTCTTGAATGGTGCTTTGAACATTATGAAGCAATCACAAGCATCCACCACGCAATAATGACACGATGACATGCAAATCAACCTTGTGACGGGGTCTGAACATCCGATCCATTTAGTTGCCTCATACTCGTTCTTACCCGAAATGCCTACGGAGTTTTAGGAGAAGTAGTATGTACCACTGTCTCCTTGAGAAGCACTCTAAAAAACTTAAGTGTTTACTTGTTAATATATCAGTACATTAAACTGAAAATACCAAACAGAAAGATTCTTTCGGTGACAGACCATTGTTAACATCGTACTTAAAGTGGGTTTTAAATCCTTAACTTACATATTGTATATGTATTGCTAAAAGCGGCGTAAAACCATACTAACTCACTCGTCTCTCTGTCCGACCGTTTACTTTCTACTCATTCTCCACACGCGCTGAGAAACGTGCCTGATACTCAATTGTGAGAATATCCTACACCAGTTTGCATTCAAAGGTAGTTTTAAAAAGGAAAAGAAAACCTTAGAAACAACATCTCTACACGACATAACATTTAACATTTTCGTCGAGTCTGTGTCACTTCATTGGTTTGGTTTGTTTGTTTTTTTTATTTGTTGTTTAACGCCGCACTCAGCAATATTCCAGCTATGGCGGCGGTCTGTAAATAATCGAGTCTGGACCAGACAATCCAGTGATTAATATCATGAGCATCGATCCACGCAATTGAGTGAGTGAGTGAGTATGGTTTTACGCCGCTTTTAGCAATATTCCAGCAATATCACGGCGGGGGACACCAGAAATTGGCTTCACACATTGTCCCCATGTCGGGAATCGAACCCGGGTCTTCGGCGTGACGAGCGAACGCTTTAACCACTAGGCTACCCGACCGCCCCCCACGCAATTGAGATCAATGACATGTATCAACCATGTTAGCGAGCCTGACCACCCGATCCCGTTAGTCTCCTTTTACGGCAAGCATGGGTTGCTGAAGACCTATTCTACCCCGGATCTTCACGGGGCTCACTTCATTGGCTGGGGCTCAGATCAAAGTATGGCATTTAGATAAAGAATTTTTAGGAATATCACAGATAGAGCTGAAATTTGTTTGAAATTGTACAAGTACATGACAATGATTATAACTCTGTATCTAAGCAATGAGTTCAAGAAATATTGCTACAAGAAAATTTCATGTCATATTGTTCAAATACTATACTTGGTAATGTAATAAACCAACCGGTTTCACAAGAAACTATTTGTATCATTCCAGCCATTACGTGTGACCCGCCAACTAGTTATCCGCATGCCGTAGCAACAGGAAATCGAAGATACCTCGATCGAGTTGTGTACTTATGTCGCTATGGTTACCGTAACGATGGAAACATAGGACTGCGAGTTTGCCAGGAGACAGGAACCTGGAAGACGATTAATGACGAGAATGGACTTCCGCCTGTCTGTGTACCTGGTAGGTCCAAGCTACAACTTGTGTTTGTGTCGGGGGGGTTATGATTTGGTTGGTTTGTTGTTTAACGCCGCACTCGGCAATATTCCAGCTATATGACGGCGGTCTGTACATAATCGAGTCTGGTCCAGTGATTGATATCATGAGCATCGATCCACGCAATTGGGATCGATGACATGCATCAACCAAGTCAGCTAACCTGACCACCCGATCCCGTTAGTCGCCTTTTACGACAAGCATAGTCGCCTTTTACGGCAAGCATGGATTGCTGAAGACCTATTCTACCCCGGAATCGAAACATAAATACAATATAATGACTCTGTAGAGATTTGTTATGAAAATGGAAAATCTTTTATCGCTTATATCATATAAAAATATATGCACAGTGATAACTTTTCTTCTTTGTTGGGGGCGGTCGGGTAGCCTAGTGGTTAAAGCGTTCGCTCGTCACGCCGAAGACCCGGGTTCGATTCCCGACATGGGTACAATGTGTGAAGCCCATACTCACTCACTCACTCTTCTTTGTTGTTTATATTCTCAGATGAAAAGCCTGAACTCCCTTGTCAGGAGCCGATGTTGGCCTTTTCCCGACTACAGGAGCCGGTGATTTCTAGTGTGACTATTTTGGAGTCCACAGTGAACAACAACGTTGCAGAATGTGCGGACCGATGCCTACGGAAACACGGATGCACCCATTTTACTTACAACATGACGTTGTGCAACCTTTATTATGACGTCGTCATTAACGTATATAATACTCCATCAGGTGATATGTGGGAGAAAAAAATCACTATTCAATCATTGTATCCCTCTCTAGTTTAAATTGACTGCATTGATTTTTCCATCACGAGGGATAAATATTTCAAAGTTTCATCGCTCAAGGATCTTTTTTATCAGGTAAATTCTCATTTAATTCTTGCTCTTTTAAAAGAAATTGACTTAATTGATTTTATAATTGGTTGAATAAATCAATAACTGAGATTGTTAGTGGCTATATCCTCGATGGGGGTTAAAGTAGTGTAAAATTATTGTCCCCCTTAGAGGATATGTAAGACCACGTCTTTCAAAGTATATTCATTTCAGCCACGTTTTTAATCGCAGTATATATGTTCTTTTAAACTGTGGCTAAATTTGTCAATAATCGCCAACAGCTGAGGGGATGATGTAAATCCGGCTGGGGTCCATGTAGGTAGCAAAAGTACTGTACGTCCCCAGGGACCATAGCATGGTGACCTACCTTCAGATGCTGGTGATCTATAGCCCTTTTTTAAATTATAATGTTTCATGACTATTTAGGGATATCTTTTTATTGTTGTATGCTAGTTTTAAAACATTAAATCTGTGATATTCTAGTACTTTTACTGTCCATCGCTGATAGGTTCTGATGTGGTTTAAATATATGTATAAATACTGTATAACTTCTCGTCACGATATGGCTGAAATATTGCCGATGTGACGTTAAGCATAAACTCACTCACTCACTCTTGTTTAAATGATCAAGTGACTTTAAAAGATGAGGAAACAGGTCACACAAATTAAAACCAGTGGGTCCATGTTTTGTGAAACATTTACAAAAACAAAATGTTTGTTGCCATACCTCTCATCAGTCCCTCGCTCCTACTTCATAGAATGGACCCCCTTAGGCGTTAGGCCAAAACAGGCAGAATAATAATGTGCCATACAATATAGTACGAGACATCTTCCATCAGTTCCTTGCTCAAAGCAAAGAATGGCCTTATCTGAGTGAGTGAGTGAGTGAGTTAGTTTGGTTTTACGCCGCTTTTAGCAATATTCCAGCAATATCACGGCGGGGGACACCAGAAATGGGCTTCACACATTGTACCCATGTCGGGAATCGAACCCGGGTCTTCGGCGTGACGAGCGAACGCTTTAACCACTAGGTTACCCGACCGCCCCTGGCCTTTTCTGGAGGCATAATCAAGCATAATAATAATGTGCATTAGCATCTAGAACATCTACGCATGTCCCAAACAAAACTTCCAGTTCTTGGGGTCATGCCCATTAATAACTTGACCTACTGCTTGACCGGCATCACTAATTATTTCTTTATTTCATGTAAAAATACTTATTATAACCTTTTAACTCCTTGTACGATATTATTTTGAGTGTATATTTAATTGCAATATCTGTATGTTGTCTGTTAAAAATACAGTTTTCGTTGTATAAGTATTAGAAATATGGATCAATTAATCCAACAAGTAGAGATTGCTGCAGAGCATCAATTGTTCCCCGCAATACAATGCTATGTTCAGAGGAAGGAAGTGTAAGCTATGGAAGGAGAGAATTGGTGTAAAGTACAAATTGGTTGTTATTAATGTAGTTATCTTTGGAAAGCACTGTCATAGCGACTGATTTATGACTACCATTGTCTGAAGTACATTTGACTCGAAAGGCAAATTACCCTGTAGCCATGTCTCCATAACTTAATTGTCATTACGTTTTAGGCGCTTATCCCCGTTGTTAATCCTCACCAACATTTCATTGTATATTGACTGACAGCCAAACTGGGCTACTTTATCACTTCCCGTTAATAACTGTTATTTATAGTATGACATTTACTGCCTTAATTGTTCATCCCCTAAGCTGTGTCACCCCCAGAAGTCCCATGTCCAGAGCAACGTCATTGAATTTCCATTGTTGTTCATTACTATATATGTGCTACCATTACACAGTTACTAGGGTGTTAGTCAGGCTTGGTATTCCGAGTGCTGGCATAGGGACGACCTCGAGCAGGATGTGCCGCTCGTAGGAAACGCCCTGAGGTGAGCTGGAGCTCCGCTCACCTCTTGTACGCCAGAGCTGGAAGGTCCGCTCATCGCTGTGTTTGTGTTGTCAGAGCAGGTATTCCGCTCATTGTGCAATTGTTGTTTATTGTTTAAATGTCGTGCATAAAGCGTTCCTGGACAGTGATGTCGATTTTGTCCTTCTTTCCCCCAAGAGCTAATTCCCCGACAACATGCGCGTTGACAGCACAATAAAAGAAACAGTGTCTTTAAATGGACAGCACAAGGAAAACCCAGGCAAGAAAACTGGACCTGTCAGGCAGAACTTGATATATACCAACTATTAGTACCAGTAAAAATATTAATTGATTACAAGTCATATATAGATGTCAACAAATGTCATTCTTAAACATACTTTTGCAGCAAATATCAATATTTCTGGTCAAAATGTTGGTTGAGGTAAAAAAAAAACAACTTTTAAAATCGTAAACACAAAAAAATGTAATGAATCCACTGTAAATAAACTTCAGTTCAAATGTAAAAACATCACGCAATTATTAAGCGATTCCTATTGATCTAACAGCAAGTTAAGAACACAGATTGGTCAAGTCATCTATAAATATTGAGAATTATCTTACATGTTGCAAAAACAAAGGTCATAGGTCACTTTTCTCAAAACTTCGTTTAAGTAATCACAAACTAATTATAGAAAAATTGGTAAATATACAAAAACACAAACCCCATTGGAACAACGTCTCTGTGAAACTTGTATAAAATACAACCAAGAAAGAGAATCACAAAATAATCCTCAATCATGATAAAGTATTTGGTACACTCTGTTAAAAGGAACAGTTCTTAATAATTTTACGAACAGTTATCCAGAAACAACTTCCAAGATCTGTTATCATATCAACAGTTACAAACAAATTCCTTGTATGTACATTACCATAGTTTAGCGCAATTATCATATTGTTTCCATATCATTTTAATACACTTGTTTTGAAATAAAATTGTTATAATGCACCTCCTTTGTATGTTGAATGTACCTTTATTTTTTAATTGTCGTTTTGTCGCACAAAACCTGTGCTCGTTGGTTTCACCAAAGTGGTGAACGTCTCAGACCTGCATCACTTCGGGGTTTCCTCCCACATCAAGCTGACACGGAATACTATTCAAAAACGGCGTTGAACCCAACTCCCTCCCTCACTCTTGTGTACGGTTCCGTTTGGTTAACTGGGTTTGTGTTGTGATTGCTTCAAGTTTTGATTTGAAATATGTTTAGAAGAATGCTACTATGTTCAACCCAAACATCGTGAAGATATCATGCAACCGTATTATCTTTTAGGAAAATATAACTACAGACCAACCTGTTGATTTCCTATGTATCCAGGAGCAAAAAAACATATACGGGTGTATAATCCCTGCCGGAAGTTACAAAAAAAATGTCAAAACAATAAACCATGCAGAACTGTAAACCGCCGCATGAAACGGTATGAATCATACATTACATACAGTGAAGTATTTGAAACAATACTGTGCTCAACTATGCCCAGCAAGGGTCGTGTGATTTTGAAGACAACTAATTATAAATTTCTCATATCAAACCCGTTGTTTTACATGTGGTGTATATTGAACAAAGTCATACTTTATAGACGCCTGATATTTAATCGTGTTGAACAATATGTTTCAACAGCAATGTGAAGTTGAAGGATTGAGTGCGCGCGACGGGCTTGACCTACGTTCCTCCCTGAAACCTTTCTCGATGGCTGCCTGAATAACATACGATACATTACTAAGGTAATGAGCAATAGAGCTGTTCAGGTAAGGGAGATAGTCACTCTCTCTCTCTCGGTGATACAGCTTGAATAAGATACGATTACAGCATTGCAAGGTCAGTGCGTGATAAAGCTCTACACTACGCCTATAGCTGAAGGAGGTAATCGCTCAATGCGCAATAGTTTATTCTTACAAAATATAGACCGGTTAACTTTAGCGAAATGAGATATATATTTCCCCTAAACATTTTTAGCTCTTTTAAAAACAAAATGAACAAATGTCATGGGTTATCTGCTTTACGAAACGTGACTAAGTCTCAGAATAGCAAGACGATTTTGAAGTATCTCTTATTTGCCAGAAGATAATAGCATCAACATTCCACGCACATGATTTGTATGTTTCGTTTCGGTAAATGTGTGGCTTGAAATTTAAATAAACCAACATGTCGCCATACATGCAACAAAATTAACGTATCCCAATTGCGCCGATTGATCCTCATGATGTCAATCACTGGGTCGTCTGGTCAAGACTCGATAATTTACAGACCGTCATATAGCTGGAATATTGCTGAGTGTGGCGTTAAACAACAAATAGACAAAACAAACAATTTTAAACGTTATAGCGCGAGAAATCGCGATAAACATGGCCGTCCAAAAACATATGACCCGACGATAAAATGGTATAACATCCTGTCACAATATTTGTTGAAATTCTTTCAACATGTTGAAACTTTTCCAAACTAAATAATGAATAGATGAACATTTGCTGGTTCATACTGGCTTCGTTTATAGAAATTAATTATGTAACACACTATTTAAAATATCAATCAATACCCATACTTAAAATAAATAAAGTTACCAACATTTATCCCCTGGAGTCATTTGAGAGACATATGACATGGGATTTTCATCCAAGTTCAACAAGATAATAGAGTATTCTTATGAAAATTGTCGACTGACCATTAAGGATAATCAGTTTAATTCATTATCATAACATTATTTGTGAAAAATTGTTATTAAAAGTAGGTTGAATATCCATGAATAATTCAAAATCCTCAGATGGACATTTCTTGATAACGGTGTTAGAACCTACACCGAAACGTCGTCCCTGATTGTAATGCAGAACTTGTTTATCCATATCGTATCTTTACTTAGTACTCCAACTTCTAAATGTCTCTCAAATCAGTTAAACGATAACTTGCTTTGTATTTGGAGTCTTTTTTTTCTTTTGCTGTGTTTTTATCCAGTGTCAAGTTAGATAAGGTAATCACCGCTCTACTTACAGCACTTTGCAACATTACGTTTCGCTGTTTTGATATAAATTCAATACATATTTACTTGTTAGATTATCACCAAGAAGAATATTTGTATTATGCTTATTGTTTTTGTGTTGAATGTCTAAGGCCAGACTCGATTATTTATAGACTGCAGTCATATAGCTGGAATATTGCTGAGTGCGGCGTAAAACAACAAACAAAAAACAACAACAATCCCGCGAATTACTGACGATGGCATTGACCTTCACCTTTCAGTTCTGAGTTTTTAAAGTTTTTTTTAAAGATTTCCAGTGGTCCATTCATATAACTTCCACAGCTATTTGTCCTTTACGCCAAGTGGAATCTGTTTATGCAATAAATCTAGGTTGGTTGTTTGTTGTTTAAGGCCGCACTCATCAATATTCCAGCTATATGACGGCGATCTGTTATTCTCTTGTGTTGACAGTTAATATTTAAGTCATACATTGTAACACCGATAAACACAAACGCAAATTGAAGCTCACTGAATGGCATGCGTCATAATAACTAATTAGACACTATTGATGGATAACAACTACTTTATTTACTGTAAAGGCAACATTTCGGTATAGATCCTTATACCGTTGTCAAGCAAGGTATTGACCTTTATCCAATTGTGTCTGCTTTGTCATCCGCCAACTTCTTAGTAATGCCTATCCAACAATGTATGCGTCTTAATAAAGCAGTGAGGAGGGGTGAAATGAGGTTTTACGTCGCGTCTAAGATTATTGTGCTTGCATGTAGCGTGAGTGTGGCTGCTTGTACTTGTCCGGACTGATGCAGATTCATAGTGCTAAGCACACTGATGCCGCAGTTTAACATGAATACCCCACTCAGACACAGTATACCTACTCCCAGCCGACCAGTGCTGGCTTTTGGCCTCTTAATGCTGAGCGCCAGACAGGGTAACAACAAGTACCATCTTTTAACATCTTTTGGAATGACGCGGCCGGGGATCGAACCCCGAACCTTCCGCTCTCCGGGCGGACACTCACGGAGGCGGTGCCATAATATAGGAGAGGCATTCAAGTACCATTGAACTCCGTGGCTGTACTTAACACTTACACCATTCACGGACACATGTGAAGATAGCGGGTTACTGATACACAAACCTATTGACCTGCTGCACCCCTCCACCATGAGGTTTGGTGTGACGAATTCCCGTGGTGAATCACTATCTCGTTTATTCTCATAATGATGAACACGTTGCTAAACGGCTATTATCAGTGGCCGAGATATATTATTAATAAACTTAACCGTGTATTGCGTAAGTGGGTTGCAATTGGCTGAGTGAGTGAGTGAATAGGAAGAAGTGGAAGAACAGGTTGATTGGTTGGTTTGTTGTTTAACGCCGCACTCAGCAATATTCCTGCTATTTGACGGCGGTCTGTAAATAATCGAGTCTGGACCATACAATCCAGTGATTTATATCATGGATTCTTCATGATACGCAATTGGGATCGATGACATGCATCAACCATGTCAGCGAGCCTGACCACCCGATCCCGTTAGTCGCCCTTTACGACAAGCATAGTCACCTTTTACGGCAAGCATGGGTTGCTGAAGACCTATTCTACTCCGGAATCTTCACGGGTCTGGAATGATGGAATCGTCAACAAAAAAATACTTTATAAATGTGTACAATAGATATGTATGTGTGCATGTAATTGAAACACATCAAAGTTCCATTAATTAAAGAAACGCATAGCTGTTTCGTGATTACCACATAAAAAGCGAAACCGTCAACTCAGAAATAATATCAGGGGCAACGGTTGTTAGTGCGAACATTCACCTCCTTTCTTCTCTCATGTACAGTTATCATCAAGTGTTGTCCCACAATCGTAAACCTTCTTCGTAATCAATCAGCAATTTTCTCACAGCTGCTTTCTTGCATAATGTTTTCTTGATTTATTCAATAAACTTAATTTTATATTTGAAATAAAATACAATTTGAAAAAAAGAAGATTCATTTTAGATACCGGTTTTAATCATAAAAGCGACAAACCATAGTCAGATCATTATCAGGATCACATACGAAAACATACGAAGTCTTCCGAATGAATACGACCACGTGACATTATGATATCGCACGATGTGACATCGTACGAGCACCTGCAGCCTACATAAATACCTCTTGTCACGTTATACTTCAAACACTCAAACAATTCTCTGAACTCTGGTCGCAGAGTGCCTGCTCGAAACTGACAACATGAAATCTCTCGGGACGGCGATTTGCATTTTGGTTTTCATTGTTGTTGTACGATCCGAGTATACATCTCTACAATGGAGCGATTGTGGTAAGAATATCATTCTTTTTTTAATGGTTTATGGGTCGTTGTGATTCTTCAAATTATGTGAAAATGTTAAAGGCGTGTGTTGTTGGACCAACAGACCCGTGAAGATTCTGGGGTAGAATAGGTCTTCAGCAACCCATACTTGCCGCAAAAGGCGACAATGCTTGTCGTAAGAGGCGACTAACGGGATCGGGTGGTCAGGCTCGCTGACTTGGTTGATACATGTCATCGATCCCAATTGCGTGGATCGATGCTCATGATGCCAAACACTGGATTGTCTGGTCCAGACTCGATTATTTTACAGACCGCCGTCATATAGCTGGAATATTGCTGAGTGCGGCGTTACGTTAAACAACAAACAAACAAACAAACAGATGGGCCTTTATATATTGTGCTGTTCCACTAAACTAGTATGAGTTTCAAAACAAAAGTCGAAAAGTCAAACACCAGTACCGATCATGTTTGTGCTAAGGGTGTGTGATTTGTGTGGAATTTCTTTGGGTACTGCTGTGCGGCATTGGGCAACAAAGAAATACTTTCTCATTCAAATTGCGGTTGATACCGGTACAGCAATACATGCTTTCCCTGTTCGCAAACACATGGTGTCATCGCTGACGTTTACTGATCCATTCAGATACTTTTCTTGGCTATGTTGCGTTTAACGACTTGTGGAATTTGTTTCGGCAGATAATCGAGATTAGTTATTCTGTGACGTTGTTTCTTTTCAATTCATTTCTATGTCTTTATCTGGCATAGTCTTCCCGCACTTCACGGGGCTTGTTATATAGTTATCTAGATTATAGTTTTAGAATCACCAACGATATCGTCGGGTACACAGGGAAATGACGAAGCTTCTAACGTCAAAAGTATACTGTGCTTGTACAGTAAACTACGGTTATAACGAACACGCTTATAACGAACTGGTGGATATAACGAACTTACTTTTTAGTCCCGACTATTTGCTGTAGTTATGCTGTATATATGCTTATAACGAACTACGGTTATAACGAACTAAAAATAGTAGTCCCTTTGAGTTCGTTATAACCGTACTTTACTGTATATGTATACAGTGACACAATTTACGAACTTTATAATAGACTTCTATAAGGCATTTGGACAAAGAGGCATGTTAAACATATTTTATTATCTACTGCAATTATGATTCATGTACATGTACGTATACGAAACACTAATTTACCTTGCCATAAATTGTTAAAAAGAAGTTGCGTCACTTTCGCGGGTTCTCCTAAAGAATGAGCCAAATTGAGGGGCCAAAGAAACTATATCTTTCAGTTTATTTTATCATATGTTTTATTTTCAATTGGAAATATCTGAAGTTTGCGATATGTCAAAATAATAAACTGCACTAGTGTTTAATCGGAATACTTCTACATGTTTTAATTTTTAAAACTATAGACTTTTTGAATTTTTTAAAAATCAAAAAAGAAATTCGCATGATACAAAACTGCTGATGGGTATCTTAGAAATCTTATCTTTGAAAATCAATTTGAACAAACCATTTCATTTCAGCCCTTGATAACCCGGATTAGGAGATTTTTGCGCATGTATTTTGACCGATATATCAATTATTGTCTAAATATGTCCTCGTTGAATATATTCTACGGTTTCGTAAATAGACTCAAGCTCTTATTTGTGTTGTACAGACAAAGAGCTTATGAAACTTTAGATAATGTCAACAATGATACGTACAGATGAATAATGTATTGATTTCTCCATAAAATACAGGAACGTCAATATAAGAAATGAAAGATTGAGTAAACAATGTGATGTAAATTACCCAATTCTACATTAATGTACTCTGCTGCTCTATTCACATAATGCCTGGACCGCCTAAACTGAAATTGATAATAAATCGATAATGACATATTTTGTAACAGTAACTGTTCTTCATATAAGGTTCAATAAAAATAAAATTTATTCTGGAATAAAATAAGGCATCTGGACCCGTGAAGATTCCGGAGTAGAATAGATCTTCAGCAACCCATGCTTGCCATAAAAGGCGACTATGCTTGTCGTAAGGGGCGACTAACGGGATCGGGTGGTCAGGCTCGCTGACTTGGTTGATACATGTCATTGATCCCAATTGCGTGGATCGATGCTCATGACGTCAATTACTGGATTGTCTGGTCCTGACTCGATTATTTACACAGACCGCCATCACATGGCTGGAATATTGCTGAGTGCGGCGTTAAACAAAAAACAAACAAACTTGTATATCATACAACCATTTCCAAAGATGTAATGAACCATGAGTATGTGGCCGTTTTCGCGGAAATAAACAAAACTACAGTTAACTACGTTTATAACGAACATGCTTATAACGAACGGACGGATATACGAACATTTTTTTGGTCCCGTCCATTTGCTGTATTTATGCTGTGTATATGCTTATAACAAACTTCGGTCATATCGAAATAAAATCAGGGGTCCCTTTGCGTTCTTTATAACCGTAGTTTACTGTACTATTAAACAGTAATACACACTACTAATCCCGACAAAGTTTCGGGTTAAAGGATGATTTTCATCGTGTTCATGAAGACAGTTGCCGGTTTAAAAGGATCCGCATTAACAGGGTTTCACTGATGATTGTGAGTGAGTAGGGTTCACTTGCTGATAGGTTATCACAAAAGATGATAACATTCCCACGTACCACTGACACGTAGAGATAACACGCACTTGTTATCAAGTAGAGTGAGTGATTATCACCGCGTATCGTGTGTACATATGAACTTACTTGTGTTTGACATGTCCTCTGATAACAGATGACCATTCGCCCCTGACATGATTAACCTATGAACCTTCATACAAAACTAATTGACAAACAGCACCGTTTTGATAAATTGTTTTCTATTGATTGTTTGTTTAAAGATTCAAATATACGTACTTTTAACATAGATAACTTACATGTAATGTTACCTCTCATGTTAGTTTTACTAAATATACAACATTACCAGCTAATGCCTGGACCGTCAAAAATATTTTGTATACATATCGACCCGCGAAGATCCGGGGTAGAAAGGGTATTCAGCAGACCATACTTGCCGTAAAAGGCGACTCGCTGACTTGGTTGATGCATGTCATCGATCCCAATCACTGGATTGTCTGGTCCAGACTCGATTATTTACAGACCGCCGTCATATAGCTGGTACATTGCTGAGTGCGGCGTTAAACAACAAACCAACCATTTACCTGATGATCATGATGCTTTGCTTTGTCAGAACCGTGCTCATGGGTTTCACAAGTAGTGTTGTAGTCTAAGACCTGAATAACTTCTAGCTTACCACAAACATTGAGCTGACACGCAATATTGTCAACAACGGCGTAGCTAACTGTTGCGTGACTGTTGGTTTAGATGGACTTGTGTATGTCAATCATGATTGTGACCCTTTCTTCCAGGCTCTGACCCTTCTATTACCATACATAACCTTGCCGTCACGCCCATGCCAGTCACGGTTCCCGGCAACATGAATTTCACGCTGCGAGCCACGTCTACTCGGTCGCACCTCAACAGGATGATACTGAAACTGTCGTCAAAGAGGAAGGGGGCTTGGTTCGACATCCCAGTGCCATGCCTGTTCCACGTAGGGTCTTGGTAAGCTTATTTTAAAAGTATTTTCGTTGGTCTCGTATCGTTTACGGAAGGTTTTAAAAATGTTTCTGTGAATGTATAAGGACAATATTGCATTTATATCACAGCGGCCTGTAAACAGTGGAGTCTGTGTATAATATTTGCTCGCTAACCTTTGAAGCAGTTAACAGTTCAGACGAGATAGACACCGATTAATAGTATCGCAATTTTTTTTCTGTTCCCAATGCGAAATAGTTTTATGTACATATAAATTGTCAAGGCAAGAGAATAACCATCCTAGATTTTATGCCGAAACCGATTCCATTTGGCTTAAAGGGCAAAATAGCTGTGGGAATTCTATGGAAGGACAGCCAAAAATCAGTGATGACACCAGTTGTTCGCGAAAAAGGGTGACTCAATGCGAGGAAGATGTTCAGTATCTTGACACATTTCAGCACCTACGACGACACGTGTACATTGCTGGCGACCATGCAGCGCGACAACTGGGCTGGCGTCATGAGGAGCGTAGGGGGGCAGATACAGAGGATGCTTTCATCAGTCGGCGTCAATGACTACTGCCCGTTGCCGATACAGAGCCTCAACATAGAGAACTACGTCCTGACGATGCCCCCAATACCGTCTTTTCTCACATTCCTTGCTGAGGTATGCCCAGTTCAATCATTACATACATTGCACTGGACACACAATGCCATTTAGAAAGTTGTCATATGATTGGTTGGTTGGTTTGTTGTTTAACGCCGCACTCAGCAATATTCCAGCTATATGACGGCGGTCTGTAAATAATCGAGTCTGGACCAGACAATCCAGTGATTGACACAATGAGCATCGATCCACGCAATTGGGATCGATGACATGCATCAACCAAGTCAGCAAGGCTGACCACCTGATCCCGTTAGTCGCCTTTTACGACAAGCATAGTCACCTTTTACGGCAAGCATTCTACCCCGGAATCATCACGGGTTAAGTGGTCATATGAAACAAATGTTATATTTCAGATAAGTACAGATTCTAGTACTTTTTGAGGGTTGCGTCCCATTCGGGATTCGAAAAAACACTGCCAGGGTGAGGCACCTAATTGCCAGCGCTCAAAGTCAGCGATCTAAACCAATCAGCCACGAGGCTTCCACAATATGAGGTGATCAGGTGCCTCAATCTGGCAATGTGGACTCAACCCCAAAACGTACTAGAATCTGTACTTTACTTAGAAAGTGTTATCCCAAATATAACATTTGTTACATTGCACTTAGCAGACAAAGCGGACTATGGATTGCAACTTCTGTATTTTTTCAATAAATAAAAGAGACAAAACAATTCCCACACTCACCATGCATCGCCGTCACCTTCAGAGACACCCTGACGTGGAACATTCCCTAAAATGTGCTGGTAAAATGTCTGAATAGACGAATTGATACAGACTTTATAAAACATACGTTTCATGTAAGTTAGCGTTCGTGGGAGTAAGTGAGTGAATATGGGTTTACGCCGCTTTTAGCAATATTCCAGCAATATCACGGCGGGGGACACCAGAAATGGGCTTCACACATTGTACCCATGTTGGGAATCGAACCCGGGTCTTCGGCGTGACGAGCGAACGCTTTAACCACTAGGCTACTCGACCGCCCCGCGTTCGTGGGACCATCGAGAGGGCTGTTATTCTCTGCAAATATCTATATCAATTTCTGATTTCGGTGTTTATACTTGTTGTTTTCTAGGGGGACTACGAGACCCGACTTCGTGCCTTGGACTACGCTACCAATGACGTCCTCATCTGTGTCGACATGAAGATGACGATGAAAGAACACACCGAGAGATGCACCGACTGGTTTTGTAGGATGCGACAGGCCTTGAGGCCATGAACTAAATCCCTTTAACATATAGTCACCCATGTGCATGCAATAATTCTGGTATCGAGGCATGAGAGTTAACTGACTATAAAAGTTTCCACTCCTGTCGAACTAGGCTGTGATTTCTAAGTTCGATCTTAGCGCCACCAGTGACTTTTACGAGTTAAGCCCCTTCCATATCCCTCCACCTGACCAATAAGGTCGCCCCTCTCGTATCATTTGCACTTGCTTCAAACAAAATGGCGGCACCCTGTCAAGACGATCTGATCGATAATCATGATCTATATTGTAAAAAACAGGTCTTACCCCGCGAAGTGCATCCAATCACTTGAGCACCTTGAGTAAAATATGAACAGATTTGCAAAATATCTGTCGATGCCCAGCTGGCGGTACACATGCTCTGCAAATCCTGCAGTCGACCGAAATCTGCACGTTGAAATCCATGTTGTTTGCGAGCCAGATGTCCAGTTCGTCACGCGATTTTGATTGAACTTTGCATAGACTCGTTAGTCCAGCCAACTCCGGAATTCCAGCCTAGTTCCGCAAGGGTGGAAACGTGACTTTTATAGTCAGTTAACGCCCCAACCCCGGGAAAATGTACTTCTGCTGAGTTACATGAATGAAATGTACCGAACACTTTTTAACAAAACCTTTACGGTTTACGCCCAAGTCAAAACCATAGCCTCGAGTTAACTAAACAAAAGTTGACAATGGTAGCAGATATCGGTGTATGGTGATATACTATCATTCAGGATTTTTTTTCCATGGTGACACGTTCAAACACAATACATTCTCAGCTGCTAGAGTCACTACCAGATCCGCAGTACTGTCAAACAATCGGCGTTTTCTTGGTTCTGTCGCGCACTCATCCTGACTAACCACAGTTCCCAATGTGCAAGCGTGGATCTTTTAACTTTAAATGAACCGGATGAATGTTGTCATCAGTTGAACCTTTTACACAACTACCATTCTTTCATAAACTTTATTTTTACAATCATTACTCATGGTTACGAACATAGAATAGCAGTTGCAATATATACATTTTCCGTGTACAAAACTATTTCAACATCTGTTTTGAAGAATCTCTTATTATTTATTTTAACATTTGATGCAGTCAATATCTAGAGTGCGTCAGGATGTATGCACTCATTCTTTGCATAGAAGTCAATTTTCAATTTAATTATTGTAAATATTTTTTTCATTGTGCCATTTCAAAAAAAATAAACTCATTCCAACTGTTAATTGTGTGACCTTTACTTGTCTACATGGACACCAACAGCAAACATGTCTATGCTCCACTTCACCACCCAGTGACTGAAAATGATACATGTAGGATTAAAGGGAAAATGTGTATTGCAAAAACATGATTAGTCTATTGTGTTGTTTTTAATCCCTTTTAAACTTCTTTGTCAATCTGAAGGTGCTAACACCTAACACACTCATTAATATATGTTACATATATAGAGGTTATCACGCGAGAATATTTGGGAATGGTAAATATCCTACATTAGGAATAAACATTGTATTTCGCTCGCCAAGGCTCGCTAAATACAATGTTTATTCCTAATGCAGGACATTTACCATCCCCAAACACACAAGCGTGATAACCTCTTTATCATATAATGTCATTCTTTAATCATGTGCTTGAAAATCGATTTCCCAAAAGCATTATCGGAACATTGCGAGTTTTCCTGGAATGCGCGCATTAATATTTATTATGTCACAGGGAAAGTGATGTGTCACTCGGACAGTGACAGTAGCCAATATAGTTCCAACTGAAATCGGTTTCTTCTACAGTGGCGAAGCAACATATACGCAAAAAAAACAATTGTTTTTACTTGCCTTTCGCGGCAATCCATCGGCATGTCCGCTATAGTAACTGCCCTTTGTCAAAGGGAAGCTACTCTAACCCTAGTCTATGAGACGTCACGGCCACGTTCAGACGTTGTTGACAGTCGGCCTGTCCTGTCATAACGTTATGAAGTGCAGTCAGATGTACACACAGAGACAAAACGAAATAAGGTAACAATTCAAACATATTTCGGGCAAATCCAACTATTTTAATTTGTGGAAAAGATTCCAAGCCGCAGAGGTGTACAAGCACAGATATGGCAACTGGTCCCTCTTGGCTAGGCCTAGTGCCCTCGCAAATTGTTTCGAAATTAATGTCTCCAAAGTTTCCAAAAAATATATAAGTTAGCTTTTACGCCTGTCACAGTTAGACACAGATTTTCAGTATATTAGACTGTTCTTTTGATAATGATAGCAATTATCCCTGTAGTTTATCCAGATTCCCAATGGTTAATTCTGACTCGATCGCCGAATGACAAGGACTTGACCTTTGATATTTGCATCTCTATACGCGTATTACCCCAATGGATATCGTTTTTAAAGCGCTGGTATTAGATGGATCAGTATTATCCCAGACAGACTTGAATATAGAGGTCAGCTGTCTTAGAACATCCCAAATGGGGTAGTTTGTTGTGAAAAGGCAACATGATACTTCTCAAGTTCAAGATCAATTACTTGTTTTAGGGTGAGAGTCATGTTGGGTTTTTTCGTCATTTTTAGCTGAGGTGTTTTTCTTCAGAAAAGAGAGCTGAGTTTTTTTACGACACATTTCAAATTCACCTATGGAAAGAGTGTTATGGTTTTCTCACTTTTTCACTAAAACATCATTACTGTACAGGTGTAGGTGATTTTAAAACAGAATATTAAAAAAATCAGTATAATAAAGCTTTTTAATGAAATAATAAATAAAAGACCATTTATTACATCACCATGTGTAGCAAAACCCAGTCAACTTGACATGTAAGGGTGGTCGAAGAAGGTCCGGGTTCTGGTTCGATTCCCCACATGGGTACAATGTGTGAAGCCCATTTCTGGTGTCCCCCGCCGTGATATTGCTGGAATAATGCTAAAAGCAGCGTAAAGTCAAACTCACTCACTCACTCACTCACACAATTTGACATGTTTGTACTCAAATCTACTGGAGGAATGTACTTTTCAATTACTAAGATGATGTGGATGATGGCCATATGTAGCATACTTTTGAGGTAAACTGGCGAATAAAAGAAACGTTACCAAACTGAAAGTTGGACACGCTGGGTCCAAAACACCGAATAGTGTTACAAACACAACCACAACAGTTTGCTGAGTAATGCACTTGCTACATTCTAGGTCAGTGGAACTTGAGTTTGAAGTGAAACTGTCGTGATGAACGGGCATGAATTTTTCATTGCCGCGTCTTGTCAATTGAGTCCAGATTTTGTCAAGATCTTGCCGAATGCAAACCGTCTTTGTCGGTTCACTGTCCGGTCACTGTCTGATCTCTGTCGGATCACATTCAGGAGAATCGGGACGCTATCGGGACAGATGTACCAGAAGATACAAATCGGATCAGATTCGGATTGAAAATCGGGACGAACGGCTGAATGGGGACGCTTCCTGAACAATATCTCATTGTTTGTGAATTTCCCGTCACGAATCACAGGATCTTGATCAGACTTTTGACAAATTTTAATCGGGAATGGTCATATCAAGGACGACAGTAAAAATCCTGAATGTGTGACTGAGCCCTTATAGGCACACTGGAAGCAGGGGAGACAGGCTATACTTCATCGTTGACGTCATTGGTGAGGCGGCGGCGGCGGCTGCAACGATTATCCATGTCCCCAAAAGCAATTTGAAAATATTGAAAGTCCAAGTACACAGTTAAATGTATTTCTCCGATCACAAAGATCAGTTTTTGCCTCAGATTGTCCAAAATTAGTTTCGGACATACATTTGTAACTTCGTCAAAGATGGCATCCATGTCGATCCTTCAAAAATAGATCCAGTAACACAGATCCCACCCTCTAAAACTGTCCATGACGTGTGTCATTTCTTAGATTTGGCCTCGTATTATCACTTTATAGCACACCTTTCAGGCATCACCTCCTCTCTATACAACCTTCTGAAAGGGGGCACGGGTGGCCCAGTCGTCTAAGGCGCCGCGATTCGCTGTGCAGAGTTGCGTCCCTTAGGCACGCCAGAAACCTATGATTGTGGGTTCGAATCCCGGTTCGCCCCGATTATGTTTCTAGGTTTGTCAGCACCATACCCTTGCTCGTGGGTTTCACCGGAGTGGTAAACGTCTGAGACCTGCATCACTCCGGGCTTTCCTCCCACATTAAGCTGACACGCCATGATATGACTGGAATACTGTTAAAAGCGGCGTTAAACCCAACTCACTCACTCACCTTCTGAAAAGAATGCGACTTTCAAATGGTCCAACAATTGTTAATTACATAAGCACATGTAATGTGTGAATTGAAATAATAATTTTATTAAAAAAACAAAGTAGAAATGATAGTGGTGTCTTCATCTACTCATGCAAAAATAATGTTCAAAGGTTATGATCTCGTGAAACGAGAGCGAGACCAAATTACACATAAGCCTTTCTTCATCATGCCGAGACCCGTGAAGATTCCGGGGTAGAATAGATCTTCAGCAACCCATACTTGCCGTAAAAGGTGACTATGCTTGTCGTAAAAGGCGACTAACGGGATCGGGTGGTCAGGCTCGCTGACTTGGCTGACCCATCTCTTCGATCCCAATTGCGTGGATCGATGCTCATGATGTCAATCACTGGATTGTCTGGTCCAGACTCGATTATTTCCAGACCGCAGTGATATATTTATAGCTGAGTGCGGCGTTAAACAACAAACCAACAACCAATCATTATGCCGAAGTGCAAAAAACAACTAAAAAATGAGCTTCAATTAAACATTTATTTGGGATGTCCCAAATTAAGGCTAAAAGTAACCCAGAAATACAAATCTGTGTACACTGTACCGAACGCAAACTACAAAATCAACAGTCTCATCTGGGACAGCAACCGGACGGATAATCTTCGTCCAAGCAGGACATCTGGAATGTAGGAATTTCAGCCAGGTCTCCTAATGGCGTCCTCTATGAAGAGATACACCAATTCAGTCAAAATACAAGCTTTGGGGGGAACTCAAGGGTGGGCCTATCACATCTACTTTTATTAATCAAATTATAATTTCAATTCACACATTACATGTGCTTATGAAATTAACAATTACACCACATAAAACTCTGTATATGTGATAGTTGTGCTTTAAAGCTCCAGTTTAGTATTTTAGGATTCCACATTCTTGAGTCTCCCTCAAGTAAAACTGCTTGAAAGTAGAAGCTCCAGACCAGTTTCCCAGTTCTAAAAGTTCGGCGATCCAAGCACCCTTAGTGCAAGCTTTTGAAGTAGAAGCCCCCTGGACAGAGTGTGCTCTATACACTACTACATTGATCTCCGCACCCTTCATCACATTGGTTACCAATCTAGCAACTGTAGCTGTGGATACAGGTTTGCAGGCATTCACATAACTGAGTAATAACTATCTCTTTTCCCATCATTTCTCCACACGAGTGTACGGTTAAGGTAGCCTCTGATACACTGCACTACACAGAGCAAAGGATTCTTTGGATAAGCTTATATGGTCAACCAGGTTTGGAGACGTTTGTAGGCTTTGTAGGATGAAAACTTTGTCGCCCTTGTCAGATGTTAACTTTACGTTCATGGTAGTAAGTTCAGTTGATCGACTTGCTGATGTAAGCATCAACAATATAGCCAGATTCTCTGTCAGATGCTTATCTGATAATTGACCATTTTCAGGCATATAACCAATATGATGCAGGACCACGTCTCCATTCCAAGTTTGGTGGTATCGACATGGAGGTTTCGGATTGAAACTAGCTGTCAAAGGATGTTGACCAACTGGGCAGCCATGTATGTGAGGATGAAAGGCAGACAAAGCTGATCTGCTATAGTGTTAAAGGTTCTGTATTCAGATCCACTTTCATACATGTTGGTTAGATACTCTAGGATATGTTCCAAAGAGGCTGAAAAGGGATTGAGTTGCCGTTCCACACACCAGCAAGGCCACCTCTTCCAGGAGGAATTATAAGCTCCTTGCGTCCCTGGTCTCCACTGGTGTGACAAAAGCTCTGCAGTATTTTGCGAAATGCTTCCTGAAGTGACCAGATTCCTGAAACCCTCCAGGCCCCTAATAGCAGTGCCCCGTTTGCTACCAGAGTGTGTGTTTGACTTTGTGGTGATTCAAGCAAGTCGTCCCACACTGGTAGAAGCATTGTAAACGCCACTGACATCTCCAACAGTACAGGGTCCCACGCCTGGCTCTGCCACACAGGAGTTATTAAGGTCAGTTCTGCCCCCTCCCTCCTTTAATTTGGAATTTGCTCTCCTCTAGTCTGTATTGACCCCCAGTCGGTCTTGATTGCATACTGCACCCCATCCAAGATTGGAAGCATCTGTTTGTAATATCAGATCTGGATGGGTT